ACACACACACACACACACACACACACACACACACACACACACACACACTCGGACTACGTTGTCCCACTAAATTCTCTGCTTTGTGACATTCTACCCAAGCTCTTGTTTGAGCTCAGAACACATCTTACACTGGGTCCTCTAGCTTACCGTATAGGCCCATGTTCTTGGCATATGATTGGCAGAGGCAAACATTAATGCCCTGCTCGATGAAGTAGCGCACAGCCCAGGCATCCTTATCGCCGTCACCACTGGCAAAGCCTTGATAGGCCATGTCAAAGAATGCAAAGAGATTCCTTTTCTGGGAAGGAACAAGGAGACCAGAATTTGAGACAGGCCACTTGCAGATGCCCTGCTATTACAAGTGCTGTCCTGGAGCACGCTTATTTCACCTAAACACAGTCAACAGAGGTTTCTCCACACATGGCAGCAGGGAAGATGTCTGAATTCCAGAGTCAATTTAACAACATACTTTAAGGCTTTTTTCTTTCTTTTAAATACTTCGATGGCTATGGCTCTTCAACAAACACCAAGAAAAGAGACCCTGAGCCTGTGGTGCAGGAGGCACTCCTAAGGCCCGCAGTGGTCTGGGCAGGTCTTTCTGATGAAGCACTGCCCTATACCCAGGGCTCACAAGATGCCGCTATGAAGTGCCCTTTGCAGAATGCTTCTGGGCCTCACTCTGAAGCCGAGGTTTGCTAGAAGCAGCGAGAATGGGGACAAAGGATGACAGGAGTATTTCTCTCTGGGAATTCTGATTAGTGTCTTCAGTTGCAGCCAGCTCCTCTCAAGGAAAAGGCAATGCTGAGCAACGCAGCAGGAAAAGTAGGGGACATGAAGGTATGTTTAAAAGAAACGAAGGAGCCACCAGCAGACCTCATAAGCCACAGTAGCTGTTGTGCCAAAGACAAGTTTTTGACAGTTTTACCAGAAGTTACCGCATCTGGGCTGAAGATGAAAATTATTTTCAAATCTGTTCACATATCATCAGTTACGAAACCCTTCCTGGCAGCTGATCCATGTGTGGCTCGGGTCAGGGTCAGGGTCAGGGTTAAGGCAAACAGTCACTCACAATCCACTCTGCTTACCTTCACCACGGACGCAATTTCCTTCCACTGCTCTGGACGGGGGTCCACGCCCGTGGGGTTGTGAGCGCAGGCATGCAGGAGGAGGACACTCTGCTCTGGGATTTTCTAAGGAGAAACAATTGAGATTTTGCTACGTAGCTTTTCAAGGAAATAGCCAACATAGTACAGGTCACTGTTAGCTGAGAAGTGACAAAGGGAATGAGTGACCTGGGAGTTAGCTGGCCTCCTCTGAGTCATAACTGAAAGAGCTGGGAGACAGCAAATGTCTGGCCTGGAAAGCCACACTTACTGATATGTCTTCTATGGCTCCCGAGAAGTCAAATCCACAAGTCTTGGGGTCATAGTATCGATAAGCTTGTAGCTGCATGCCGGCATCTCTGAAGATGGGTGTGTGATTTCCCCACGATGGTTTGGGCAGAAAGACATCTCGGCTGGACTTAAAAAATCTTTGCTAAAAGATGGGATTAAAAGGGAATGAAAAAAAGAAGAAAGAGGACAAAATACTGTTTCTCTGAAAGTTTTTTCCTACTGATGGTAGCAGATAGCCTGGGTTGGGAGCCAGGCTCGGACAGTTATTCTGGCTATGAGATAAAACAGCTGTGCAGGCCTCACTACCTAAACTTTCCTTACAAGGACAGTGCTGGCTGGACTTACTTCAGCTTAACACACCAACCAGAGCTAACTGAAGGGGGTAAACTTAATTGAGAAAATGCCTTCATGAAATCCAGCTGTAAGGCATTTTCTTAATTAGTGATTACTGAGAGAGGGCCCAGACCACTGTGAGTCGTGCAATCCTGGGCTGGTCCTGGGTTCTATAAGCAAGCAAGCAAGCTGAGCAAGCCATGTAAAACAAGCCAGTAAGCAGCACACTTCTCCACAGCCTCTGCATCAGTTCCTGCCTCCAGCACCCTGCCCTCTTTGACTTCCTGTCTTGCCTTCCTTCAGTGATGAACAGTATTATGGAAGTGTATGCCAAATAAGCCCTTCCCTCCCCAGCTTGCTTTTTGGTCATGGTGTTTCCCACCCACCAACAGAAATTTCACTATGACAGGGACTCAGTAAGTCAAAATACAAGCTTCCTACTAATACAACATGCTATGCGGAGCATAACAGTTTATGCCTTTAATCCCAGCACTTGGGAGGCAGAGGCAGGCGGATCTCTCATCTACATAGTAAGTTCTAAAACAGCTCAGAGATACAGAGTAAGACATTAAAAACAACAACAACAACAAAAAATCCAAACTAAAAGTCAAAAAACAACAAAGCCCCAGCTGACTCATTATTACTTTATTCCTTCTAATTTCTCCACAGTGCTTTCTTTCACCGGAGAACAGGACACCTGCCAGCGAAGAGGAAGCCTGGTGCTGGGTGAGTAGCTGCATGCAGGATGGGAAGTCTAGTGAACCTTCAACTTAAAGTTCTTTCTTGAAGGAGTTTCACTTACCAGAAAACTCGCTCCGATCCGTAAGGCTCCAGTCCCGGAAATGGTCTGCACAGTGACAAACTGCAGGGGATGCAGAGTCAGTCTCTACCCTTTGCACTTCACAACTTAACTCTTTCAGCCATTTGTCTGATCGTTTATTATAGAGTATTTATTTACTCTCTCTCTATGAGGATCTTGTCTACATGTTGTGTGTGCACCATGCTCACGCCTGGTGCCCCAAGAAGTCAGGGGGAGGCGTTGGATCCCATGGAACTTGAGATCTGCAGTTACAGAAGGTCGTGAGCTGCCATGGGGGTGCTGGGAATCAAAACCGGACTCTGCAGAACAGCAACAAGTGCCCTAAACCACTGAGCCATCTCTCCAGCCCCGTTCAGTTATTTGTACTCTGTGTGTGTACACTATGTGTGTACGGGGATGAGGCTGTACACACACCAGACCCTTCGTGTGGGTTCTGGAATTGAACTCAAGTCATCAGGCCTGCGCTACAAGCACTTTATCTGCTAAGCCATTTTGCTGGCCCCCAGAAGCCAATTCTGGATGGCTGTTAGAACTGTCATGTTATATGGAAAATTTTAGAGTATAAAAATAACCTAAGACCCCTGCACAGATGTAGCCCATGGCAGTTCAGTATCCAAGTGGGTTCCATTGTAATAGGAACAGGGACTGTCTCTGACATGAACTGATTCACTTGCTCTTTAATTACTTCCCCCTGAGGGGAAGCAGCATTACCAGGCCACAGAAGACAATGCAGCCACTCCTGATGAGACCTGATAGACTAGGATCAGAAGGAAAGAAAAGAAGACCTCCCCTATCAGTGGACTTGGGGAGGGGCATGCATGCAGAGGATGGAGGGAGGGAACCACAGGGGGGGATACAAAGTGAATAAAATGTAGTTAATAAAGAATTTAAAAAATTACATTTTTATACAATTGCTTCTTGCTTACTACAAAAACAATAAATCAGAATGTAAAAAAAAAATTCCTATTCAATACGCAAAGAGAGTGATTTTTGTACACATACACACACAAAAAAAGACATTAAAAAGCCACTATATTCAAACATTATTTTAGAAATAATGTAAAATCCAACAACCTCCTGATACCAAGTCAACAAGAATATTAAGATAATGTTAGTTTACTTTATTTTGTTTTTACTTTCTGTGGTGCTGGAGTCTGAACTCAGGGCTTTTTGCACATGCCAGGCTAGCATCCTACCACTGAGCTATTAACATAACTCCAGAATTTATGTTTTTACATCTTAGGTTTAGACAGAAAAACAAATATGCAAGCGTCCCCTTTTAGGCACATTTTCCCCTTTTCCTTACAAAGAAAGTAAGCCACAGTGTGCATGTCTTTATTTTGGGATTACGGTCTTCTCTCTGTCCATGCCCTGTGACAGGGCAGCAGAGGACAGCCACGCCACACCAGCCACGCCCCCATGGCCTACTCATGGCTGCTTCTCTGTTGCTTCTCCCGTCCAAGCTGGAAGCTTAACACATGATTGTGGAGACTAATTATAGGCTGAAAGCTAGGCACAGAGAGGCATTTCTAGCTCATTATTCAATATAAAAAGATGAAACTCATCAACAGTATCAACAAACTGAGCAGTAGTTATCAGTCACAATATCAAGATAACTGATAGAGTTAAACTTCTATCTAAAAAGAAGTTATTAGTAAGCGTGCCCACCTCAGCCATCACACACAAATAAACTGAGGTAACAATCCCCATTAAAAAGAACTGCTGCATATGTAAACAGAGCCTGAACGAAAGCTCAAGCCTGCCTAGCTTACCCGGCCACTTTTCAACACTTCATTGTTCTCGCCCAGGGCCAGTTCTGCAGATGCCTTGCAAAATTCAGCCAGTCCCCCAATGGGCAGGTATTCTTTGTCTAAATTTTTTGCAGCAATCTGGGCCTCTGCCTAGACAAGAAATTAAGTTTTAGTTTCTTCCTCCTCCTTCATCCTACTGTGATAACAATAAATGTTTTCTGAAGTAAATGCCACAAGCAAATCTCTCCCCCTCCCTTTGGGATTATCCCTGCTATTTGAGCTGGTTACGAACTCCTGTGCCTTCACGGTCTTCCTGCTCAGCTGAGACTTGTCACAGGGCAAGCCTTATATTTCGTATGAAGTTACTGTTTAAGAAGGATAAGTAAAATATTTGACATTCTGTATCACAGAAAAAAACATACTGTTCACTATTTTATATTCTAAGAATATTATTGTTGCAAAATAAAATTCTACTATTTACTTTGAGAGATGGTTTCCTTATATGGACCCGTGAGGTGGTTTGGATGAGAATGCCCCAAAGACTCACATACTCCAGCCCAGTGGTGGAACTGTTTGACAAGGATTAGTATTAGAAATACTAGTAATAAAAATGTAGCAAAAGTAGAAAATGAAGGACGTTGTCGGACAGTTCAGCAGGAAGGGTGGACAGCCCATGCTTCTGTATATGGATTTCACCACAGCAGTCAAGATGAGAGAAATGCAAAGTAACAATAGCCCACTCTGTTACACAGAGACACCCTGGCTACAACCCCCCAAACAAACAAAAACCACAGTGGCCTTCTCTACAGCCGGCTGGTCCTCTCGTTAGGAGACAATGTTAAAATTCCAGTCCTCTCCTTGCCCGTTGGTAGGCACCAGGCCCGATTTATAATATGGAGAAGACCATGTGGTTCTGATCCACCTTCACAGCTAAGGAAGGTCATAGTCTAGAAAACCCAGGTGATTCATAAAGCCATTGCCAGAAGCAGAACCTGGGGCCCCTAAGTCCTGGTCTAGCACCCCTTCAGGTTCTACATCCTGCACCAGCAGGACACAGATGCCAAGCTCACCTTCCGGACACTGGGGAGTACGTAAGGCTTTCCGTTATCATCCCGGTAGGCACCAACCCCCAGGTTCATTTTTTTGCTGTTGGTATCTCTCTTGAAGGCTTCGGTGACTCCCAGGATGGGATCTGGGGGTCCCATTTCTACATGGGCCCACCAGGAGCTGAAATGAGAACACTTTATCTCAATCACAAGAGCTAGAATCTACAGCCAGATATGTAGTCAGATCTGCCAAAAATCCATTTTGGCACATGTGTGTTACAGAAACAGGCACCAGCCATCCAACAGCATAAAAACCTTCAGAAGACTGGACATCTGCGTCTTCAACAAGGATATGACAAGGTGCATAAATCTAGCACCCAGGGTATTTTGTACGGTAGGATAAAATGTAAGCACAGGTTCAAAACATTTTTCTTCAAGTGATTAATGAGTAATGAAAATGTAGTACATATACATGGTGAAATTTTAGTCAGGTGTAAAGAAAAATGAAAGCATGAAACATGCAGGTAAATGAACAAAACCAGGAAGTATGGGGTAACTCAGACCCAGAGAGACGGAGGCCACATGCTCGCTCACCTGTGATTCCTAGCTTAGAACCTCTAGGTGTTAAGTAAGTATATATAACCTGGAGTCACCACAGAAACCAGGAAGACAAAAGGGACCACGTGGCAAAAGAGAGAAGGTACTCTAGAGAGGGGGACAGGAAACAGATGGCATGAAGGGGGAAATGGGGAAAACAAGGGGAGGGATTTAGCTGGGAAGTGGAAAGGGAGAGGGAGGTCAGTAAAATGGGTGGGTGGGAGGATAAATAATGGTAAGAATGTTTGAAAAAGCCATAAGGAAACACTTTTCATTTCCACACACATGCACAGAGAGACAGACAGACAGACACAAATGAACAAGAAACCACTAAGTCCAGTGGAAGTAGTTGCCAGGGATCAAACCCTGGGCTTTGTGCATGTTAGGTAAGTACTCTACCAGCTGAGCCGCATGCCCAGCTCCTTGATTTGTTTTCAATCTTGTTCAGGTGCTTCTGTCTGTTGGAGCTTATACTAAGATTTCTGCAGCTTAAAAAAACCAAACCCCCCACCCTCACCATGTGTCAATAGACTAGGTGCCTGACTGACATGTTTTCCACCTCTGGGCACCGATGGACCAGATTACAAAATCATCAAATAAAAGGCTTTTGTTATAGTTCTCAGTATTCACAGCAATCAGTTCCTAAGTTTCCTGGCAAATGTGAAACCACATTTCTACTACTTTGGATGTGATTATAATTTGTTTTTCATACTCTCTGGGACACATCACATTTTGTTGTCTATCTTCTTAGGCTTCTCTTGGTTATGGCGTTTTCAGCTTCCTTGTTTTTGATAATGTTGATGCTTCCGGTGAATTCTAGCCAAATGCATGCCATTGGGGCCCCTTTTGAGGTTTTTCTCATGGTCAGATTGGGGTAATGAGTTTTCTTTTGAGAACGATTACATTTCATAATATGTCACTGAAGACAACTTCTAATAACCTTTACATGTTCAGACAATGTGTTAATGGACTGGTTACTAGGTAGCGATGGAGGTCATTCCTGTGACTAGGCAGACACTGATTTCTGAGTACATCTTGAAGTCTTGCACCATGCTCTAGGGAGAGCAGAGCTGCGGTCACTGGTTTGGGGATGCTCTCTGCCACGTGTTCTCAGGGGATAAGTGCCCCTTCCTCCACAGCTAAATTCTGTCAACAGCTTTCTTGTCTGCTTAAGACGCCTGTGTGGGGGACTCGCCATGCCTCCCTTCCTCCCTGGTTTTCACTGGAAACAGAAGTTAAAAGGTGCTTAAAAAGTGCTTGAGACCACACCGCATTAGGACAAACACAACTGTTTTTATTCAAGAGCAAAAAGAAGGTAGTTTGTCCTGAGCTCCTTCGCCTCCAGATTCCCTTTCACTCTCAAAACTTTCAGAAATAGAAATACAAAGAACTTCTGTTATTTTTCTCCCTTCCCTGGGATTTAACCGTGCAAACAGCACAAGGGGACAGCAGCTTCATACAGAGGGCAGTCTCTGAGTCACCCAGTCTCTGTCCTCCCCTCACACTGGGGGGCAGAGGCCTTTACTGTGGAGTCTGCAGGGTTCCTGGGCATCCCTGAGGTCCTCACCTGGAATCCCACGTGCAGAGGCAGCTTCAGCCTCTGGCACTTGGCACTGTGGGCTAAGTGAAGAGAGCTTCCTTCTCTCTGTGTATCCCAGGGTGGCCTGGAACTGTTAAGCTACTTGCCCACTATCCCACCTGCTGGGGTTATTATGTCTGGCTAGAAACACAGTTCCTGAGCTCACAGCTGGGGGTGTCAGCTGCAGCTACTCACAAAGCTTCCATTTTGTGGGGTTTGACTAGTAATATTTACTGTGTTGGAAATGAAACTGGAGAAATCTGTTAGCTATTAATCATTTGAAGACAGAAATCATGGAAAACCATGTGCATTAACACAAACACCACCTAGTGCTGCTATGAAAATGGTTTGACCTGACAGATGTGGTGGTGCTCGCTTGTAACTCCAGCACATGGATAGCGTCAGTGTGTTCCAAACGTGAAAGGATGTATGAGGACAAACTCAGATGGTGAATCTTGTTTCAATCCCTCTTTCCTTCCTTCGTTGTGGTTTTGTAACCTATGACAACAAGGTTTTTGTCTCCAATGAGTATCTTTAGGTTTCTGAAAGTGGTAATGGGGGCCTAGGTAACCAGAGGGGTGAGCCCTCATCCCTCTTCAGAACCATGACAGAGATGTGCTGTGGGACACTCCTTATGGCCCTGGCAGACAGCTTTGCAGAGCTCAGCATCTACTTGGATATTGGAGTCGCTGTCACCTTCATGGCAAATGTCCAGATCTCCCGGAGCTCTGGGACTGAGAGTACATTGGTTGGGGTTGGTGCTGTGGTCTTGGGTCACCACCCTGTAGCCTCTCTGGGCCTGGAACCATCCCGCCAGGCCCAGGATGGAAAGCAGGCATTTGAGAGAATGTAAGGGAAGGTGAGCAGTGGTGACTGGTTTATAACTCTGAAAAGAATCTATGACCAGGTAACATGTTTAGAGTTTGGTCAATCTGGATGGGCTGGTTTCCCTGGGGTAATGATAAGCTTTACTTGCTATGATATAAAAAACCATTTCTTATCTTTCCCAATCATCTCAGATAGTAAAGTGTGTACTTTCCTAGAAAACTTAACATACACTTAATGCTAACTTTGCTATGGCTCTGATGAAGACAAAAACCAACTGCCCGCCAGCCCGCACGGCTGGATGGACGGCTGGATGGAAGAGATAGATTCTTACCTGTCAGGAAGCTAAGGTTCTTGCCTGGCTCTGTATTCTTTTTAGACTTTTGTGTATGAGTGTTTTGCCTGCAGGTGTTATGTGTGTCTCATGTGTATGCCTGTTGCCAGTAGAGATCAGGAGAGGGCATCAGATCCTCCGGAACCAGAATTATAGATGGGTGTGAGCCCCCATGTGGGTGCTGGGAACCAAGCCTGAGTCCGCTGTAAGGGCAACAAGTGTTGATGACTGCTGTACGGCCTCTAGTCACCAAAGCTAAGACTCTTCACAACTACATGGCATAGTTAATTTTAATGTTTTAGTGTAATTTTGAACAAAGAGGTAACCAATGCTTGTTTCTCAGGTAATCATGGTCCCATCTCAATCACATGACCAAATACCAGCTGCTGGTCTTTTACAATTTGGCCTTCCTAAAACTAGATCTTCAACACAGGTAAGTACAACTCTCAGGAAAGTACTAGCTTTCCTTACACTAAATGCGCCCTCCTGGAAGAATGGGTGCACGAAGGAAGGTTTTCACTTCATGCTAGACCACTGCTCTGAGGAAAAGATCATCTTACGGTTTTTCTTTGAAGAAATAAGCAAGAAGCTTTTTACAGTTTCATATTATATAAACAAAGTTGTTGTATGTCAGAAAGAGAGCTAGTGAGTGAGTGAGTGAGAGAGCATGTGTGAGTGTCTTACGTATCTCTGTCTTATGTAACTCTGACTGGCCTGGAACTCACTCTGTCGACCAGGCTGGCCTCAAACTCATTGATCTGCCCTCCTCTGAGTGCTGGGGTTAAAGGTGTGTGCCACAATGCCTGGCTATAAAAATGAATTGTTTCAGACAGTGGTTCTCAACATTCCTAATGCTGAGACCCTTCAAAACAGTTCCTCATGTTGTGCTGACCCTCAACCATAAAACTGTTTCATTGTTACATCATAACTGTAATTTTATCTCCGGGCATGATGGTGCACACCTGTAATCTCAGTGCTCTGGGAGGCAGAGGCAGGCGGATCGCTGTGAGTTCCAGGCCAGTCTGGTCTACCAAGTGAATCCAGGCCAGCCACGGATACACGGAGAAACTCTGTCTCAAAAAACAAACAAAACCAAACCCTGTAATTTTGCTACTGTTATGAATCCTGCTGCTTGCTGGCTGTGGTATTGGGTGAGTTAGCCAGGGCAGTGCTGGAGAATGTGCCCTGGTGCTGTGGGTGCAGGACAGCTGCTGGCCTGACCAACTCATCTATCACCCAGGCCCAGATCCAGAGCTTTGAGTTGGCCCAACCCAACATCTAACCCATCTATGAACTATAGGAGCACCTGAAAGGCTGGTCCTGCAGATTCAAAGTACAGGATCTCCATGATATAAGGCAACAACAGGATATAGTGATTGTTAGTGTAGCTGAAGCCAGAGGCCTTGGAACAGACCAATGATTCACTGCAATGAACATTTGCCAAGTAAAGATATGTGGACAAAAAGGTATACTGTGTGACACACTACAGCTTTAAAATCTTACTATATTTCCTCTTGGGGGAAGGACGAAAGAGTGGTGGGTGAATATGAAGGGACAGGGAGATGAGTGGGATTGGGGTCTATGATGTGAAATTCACAAAGAACCAATAAAAAGTGAAAAAAGAAAAAAAAAAAAAAAGGAACAGCTGCTTGAAGATGTCCTAAGCTGACAATTTTAAACTTGCTGTGTGCTAATGTGTTAGGAGTTGGGACTGTAAAGAGAAAAACATTAATCCCTCCCTACCAGATTAGCCGTGGGTGACCAGCAGGGAGACGCCAACAGTGCAGCCTGGCTGTGACTCAGTGAGGATTTTGGGTAGGGAACTGGTTGTCGAAGCCCAGAAAAAAAAGACTACCAAAGTCTTTGAAGGAGAGGAAGGAGGAAGTAGAGGGTTAAGGGGGCTTCTGGGAGTGGGGGACCCAGGAGCAGGCGGTGGGGGGAAGACTTTAAGAGTAAAGGTTGAGGGTGTGGAAGCTGTTGCCGCAGGAACTGAAAGGCACAGAAACCAGGCTCTAAGCGCCTTAGGTGAAGAGTTCAAGTTCTTTCTGTATTCATCCACGTAGCCTCTGCCAAACGCTTTAGCAGGGCACAGTGAGTTATTCTCTAGGATTTCCTACCCAGCAATGTCACGTGGAACCTGCAGCCAGGCAGTACCTGCCCGCAGGCCTCACTCTCCACGAGTCATGCTGGTGGAAGACTCGGCAAGGCTGGCTGGCTGGGGCTCCCAACAGAACCTAGACCTCCACAGTTGAGTTTGGTGAGCTGTTAATTCTGTTATTTAGGAGCACATTTTTCTGGCTTGGGGTCTCCCAGGGTTTTACTCCTTTCAATGGTCTCTTTCTCACAGCCTGCCCTGGTCAGACTGCAGGAACTCAAACAGCTTACCCACTTATATAAAGTGTGAGTAGAGGCAGGACAAGTGACTCCAAATGTGGTATAAAGGTTTCTGTCTTTCAGGGTAGGTATTATGTGCCAGGCACGGTGGCTCATGCTTGTAATCCCCAGCACTCAGGGAGGCAGACCTCTGTGAGTTCGAGGCCATCCCAGTCTACAAAGCGAGTCCAGGACAGCCAAGGCTACACAGAGAAACCCTGTCTTAAAAACCAAGAAAGAATGAAAGAAAATGTACTTTGAGCCAGGCACAGAGTGTCTGATGTTAACTAGCATTAGTTTCTAAGTCTCTGCTATACTTCCATCTGTCACCATTCTGGCTCTGGTTTAGAGTCCCACAAGATCAATATGTAGTGAACTCAATAGTATATGGCCATAGGAATTTATGGCCAAATGAATATCTTTCTGGTCTTAAAGTTATTGCTATTATTAACTTACATTCTCAGGTGACATTACCATCTTTTGCAATTCTTAGCCAGGAATAAATTCTTCCATAGCCTGGCAGTGGTGGTGCACCAGCTTTAATCCTAACACACAGGAAGCAGAGGCAGGTGGATCTCGGTGAGTTTGAGGCCAGTCCGGTTTCCAGAGTGAGTTTCAGGATAGTCAGCGCTCTGTGACACAGAGAAACCATCTTGAAAACCAAAAGCCAACAAAAAAAATTTCCTTCCCTTTTCTCTTTGTAACTGTTGCTGTAAGCTGTGAGGAAGAAACACACTTGGAGACACAGGTTTCAGTTTCTGCTCATCCTCAGTTCTGACAGAAGCCGCCACCTGCCTATCCACATCACTGTCAGTAGGCGCTGAGTGAAATGAATACTTTGAATGTCAAGGACATTCAAACATCCAGAAAGCCACTGTCATTTTTTTTAAAAAGGCACTTAAACAATGACACAGCTGCCTCCTCACAAGGACAGGCAGTTATCCTTCTTGTTAAATAGTGTGAACAACACTCACATAAAGTATGCAGCAGACAGAGTTCTCTAGAAGCCTCAGCCATGACTATTCTTGTAAACCTCTTAAAACAAATGCCTCAAACAATTTCAAAACACCAATTTTTTAAGCATTCTGAGCACAGGAGCAGTAATCTTCTGATTAGCTATGAGTGAGCAAAATCCAGGTTCTCTAGGTCCTTCACTATCTCACGCTTTAAAACCATAAAGATCATAGGCATGAGAGAGCACTGATATTTGTAAAGAAATGGCAATAGATGAAAACAAGAGTGCTCTGGGGTAAACTGATAACCTGTGGCCTCTAGTGTGATTCCTACCAATGCCCTTTGGACAGAAACACGGGGCCACAAACATTGAGCAACAGTGACCACCCAACCAAAAGATGCTAGGTACAAAGTATTCAGATAAGCATTTCTAGCTCAAATGCTTTGTACTTTCCAGAGGCTTAAGCAGCTTTTGAAACGTTTTCTTATTTGGTCTCACACTCTAGTGTAGGTTGGCCTAGGACTCACTTTGTAGCCTGGATAAATGGCTTTGAACTCAGGGCAATTTCCCTGTCTTAGTTCCCCAACATTTTTTTTTTTTTTTTTGGAGGGGGTAAATATTTTGTAGTGCTATGGTTCCCTTTATGCGTAGCTTTTGATCTAAAAATACAAAAAACATTAAAATGCTGCATTTGTTTAAAAATTAGGGCTTGAAATAAAAAATATACAGAGTGAAAGGAATTCCATGGGCTGGGCATACATCTCAGTGGCAGGGTGCTTGCCTAGTATTCCTAGAGGCCCTGGGTTCTATCCCAGGTAGAGGAAGGGAGAAGAAAGCTGGGTGTAGTAACTACTGGGAAGGTACAGCTGGGTTGACCATAGTATGTTCCAGGCCAGCCAGGGCTACATAGTAACTCCAAACAGACAAGACAATAACCATGCCAGGCAGCGATCTAAGTGCTTAGATAGAACTCAGAACAAAGTTTCCACGGTCTCTGCTCTTCCCTACCTTAAATTTGAACTGGGAAAAGGCTCTCAGACTTAAAGAATCACAAAGCAGTCATACTCAACCGGAACCTCAACCAAGCAGTTTAAGTATTAAAGCTCGTGTCTTTCAGGTATACACAGAAAAACAAGGTCTATTTTAAGATTAAGATACCGGGAAAGCAGATTTTTCTCCTGCCCATAGAAGCACTCCTTTTTTTGTTCTCTAAATTTGCAGCACAATTAACTTTCTCCCCGATCAGGTGGGCAGGCCTGAAAGGGCACACATTGGCGATGAGCCAAAAATGGGCTCTGGGAAGAACAGGCTGTTCTGGCTTGAAGACTACCTGAACACGTTAAAAGGAAAGGCTAAGGCAAGCATAAAAGGTTAAGTAAGCTTTGCTCCTAAGTTAGTTAGTAAGCGCTCCGGGGAGACTGTCTCAAATCTGTTCTCTTGGGTAAAACGTCTCTTCTGGCTCAAGGGAGAATTAGGAGTTACTAGTTCCGTTTACGTCTCTAACTTTTCTCTCAGCACATCTCAGTTTAAGATGACATATTTGTCTCTCTCTCTCTTTTTAAAACGAAGCCAGTCCGCTCTGTGTTGCTCACAACTGCATCACCAGCAACTGGTCCAGTGCCTGGCTCGGAAAAACTGGGTTTCGAAATATTTACAGGAAGAAAGAGCCGACTGAGAGGAAAGATTGATGGCTTCCAGTCAGCGGGATCTCCCAAGGGTTTAAAACAACGAAAGTGCAGTACTTCAACCCTTTCCCATCCAAAGGCTAGACTGGTCGGCCAGGAGATAGGTATCACCAGATATTAGAGTGATGCACTACGCCAAGGTCACGAATGCACAGAAGAACGCGGGGTCCGGGCACCCCCAGAACCTCCATGTGGTCACATTTCCCCCAATGCACACACGCCGCGGGCAGCTTCCAAACAGAACTGCCAAGTACAAGCCTCTGGACCCCGACAGGTGAACCTACCACCCGGCAGGGCAGCTGGTCAAGGGCACGCGCGCCCCCCCCAGCACTACAGCCAATCAGCCAGGCAACTGTGGTGCTACAGCCAATCGGCGGGAGGCTGGCCCGGCGCCGCCGCCCACGTGCTCACCCCTCGCCCCGCACCCCACCGCACCGAATCCGCATCTTGGGACCCCCCCCCCACCCGCTAGAATGGGGGTCTGGGTGCAGCCGAGAGTCACAATTCCCCATCCTCGGGGACTGCGCTTCCTGGCTGTCCAGCGATGCAGGGGAAGGATGAGGGGTCTTGGGGTCATCGCGAGGCGCAGGCACTCGGCTCTGGGTCCCGGGACAGGCACCCCTTGAGGACAGGGGAGGGTGAGGGTGCGCGCGCGTTAGTTAGCGAGTGGGGCGGGGTGCCGGCTTCGCAGCGTCCACGGCTCGGCAGGGCAGGGCAGGGCCAGGCCCGCGGTCCAGCTCCATCTCCGTATCCCTCGGCTCACCTGGCTCTGGCAGAGGCGGCGGCCGCAAGGCCCGGGTGAAAGGCAGCAGCCACCCCGGAGAGAACACGGCCGGAGTGCAGCAGGGCCATGGTGGGCAGCAGGACGGCAGTGGAAGGCGGCAGAGCCGAGAGCGCGGAGGGCGTCCGCAGGAACCCAGGCGCCAGCTACTGAAAGGTGAGGACGGTGACTTCCCCGAACGCGGCTAGAGCGGCCCGGCGGCGGGCGCGAGACGCGTCGCAGCGGCCCCTTGCGTTGCGGCGTAGAACGACCACGAATCCGCGGAGGTCACGGAAACCTGCAGGGACAACTCTAACCACCGCCTGCGAAGCCTACAATTTGTGAGGATGCGCAGACCGCGTGTTCGGCGCCCTGCATCCAGTTAATCATCCGGTAAACCGTTCCGGTTTGAAAGGTGGGAAGGCATAGGCTGACGGCAAGGAAGCAGTTTTTTTCCCCCAACGCCCCACAGCCTCTAAGACACAGTGTGGCTTTCATTTCAACGTTTTACCCACCATTGGGACTTTCCCTAAATTCAGGTCTCTCAAGGTCCGGAATGCTTCCATGCCCCTGTTACAGAGGACAACAGGCGTATTTTGTGGAGGCAGTTGTGAGGATTAACCGAGATTAGCAGATTATGCCTAAAAACAGGGCCTCATTAGTAAATACAAGATGATCCGTGGCCAACGACAAACTTTTGCACGTCAAATCTTCATAATTATGTTTGGAAGCAATGAATAATTTTTTTTTTTTAAAGGGTGGGGAATGAATTTGAGACAAGCCCACAAACTGACCAAGTCCACTTTGAATACGGGCTATTTCCCAAGCACGCTTCAGAAATCTGTGTAGAATTGAACCACTTGCCGGTCGAATTTATCCTCTGTCACTCCAGCTGTCTGTATGATTGTTATCGAATCCGGGGGCCATAAAATGTGCTCCAAACCAGGCCCAGGCCACCCATCCTTAATAAGCAAACTGAAATTAATAGTGGAAAGCAGAAAAAGAAGAAGATGGCTATTCTTGCTTGTCAACTTGGCTACATCTATAATTAATGGGAATTCAAATCGCTGGGCACACTCGTGGGAGATGTTTTAAATTAAATCATTTGAAATGGGGACACCCACCTCTAAATTGGATCTTTGGGGTAGGAAGATCCGCTTTTAATCTGGGCCACACCTTCTGCTGGCAGCCTGGATAAGGGACATGAAAGAAAGAAGCTCTCTATTTGCCTGCTTGCTCTCACCTTTACTGGCAATCCCTTCCCAGAGCCTACTTCTTTGAGATTCCTGTGTATACTGAAAATCAGCTGAGACATCCAGCTGTGTGGACTGAACAAATACTGGATTGTTGGGCCTCCTGTTCATAGGCAGCCTTTGCAGGAGAAGCCGGACCACACAGCTTGTAAGTCACTCTGCTACAGCTCATACATTATGTAAGTACTGTTCCTCTAGAGAACAATGACTAATATACAGTAGGAGATGGATGGACTGGGAGAGGGGGGCCACTGAACCTTCACCTACGATTCTGCCCTTCTCAGCCTCCAGCTGAAAGTAACCTGAGGTGATTACAAGGCATCACAAGGAAGATAGAAAGAAGGCTAAACGTGGGACTCCATACACAGCTTCCATGAGATTGACATCCATGATGGGCGAGGACTGCTTTGGGGTCACCTGAATGTCTATAAGTAACCGATTCTCCACGCTCCTGTAAATCTAATAAAATCATCAGCTCACCAATTTGGACTTTGGTGGGATCCTTGCTTCGGTCTGTTGGGGTCCTGTATGCAGCAGACATTTCTAAACACCTCAGAAAAATTTAACGCAACAGATACTATGTTAGTTTGTTTGGGCTGCTGTGACAAACACCACGAAACCAATACTGTTGTTTTGTTTTGTTTTTGCCTTTTTTTGAGACAGGGTTTCTCTGTGTAACAGCCCTGGCTGTCCTGGGCTTGCTTTGGAGACCAGGCTGGCCTCAAACTCACAGAGATCTGCCTTCCTCTGCCTCTGTAGTGCTGGGACTAAAGGCATGTGCCACCTTTATCAGCACAAAACCAATACTTTAAAACAATAGAAATTTGGGGCTGGAGAGATAGCTTAAGAGCACGTATTGCTCTTGCAGACCTGGGTTTGGTTCCTAGTCTCAGAAGGCAACTCACAATTGCCTTAGTAGCATCAGTTCCAGGGGACCAACGCCCTCTTCCAACCTTTGCAGGCTCATGGACTTTTGGAGGTACACACAAACAAGCAAACCAATGCCCAGAAACTTCTCTCTCCATCTGGAGGCTGGAAACCCAAAATAAAGGTGTTGTTAGGGTCCCTGTCTCCTGTCACCTCAGGGAAATGGATTTTTTTCCGCCCAGCTTGTGCAGATCCTTGGCTTTCCTTTGTTTGTAGATGTCATCACTGAGCTTTCTGCCACGCTCACCACAATGGTGGTGTTTTGTCTCTTTGGTATGATACTAAGTATGATGCCCACCTGTAATATCACCGCTTGGAAGGCTGAGACAGGAGGATTTTAGGTTTTGTGACCAGCGTACCTGAGTTTGTGCCCCCTGTAACCATCAATGTTGGTAGACAAAGACAGGAATTTTTACTTTTTTGTTTTGTTGTTTCTGAGACAGAGTTTCTCTGTGTAGCCTTGGCTGTTCTGGACTCAGTTTGTAGACCAGACTGGCTTCAAACTCACAGAGATTCATCTACCTCTGTCACCCTGAGTGCTGGGATTACAGGCATGCGACACTGTGCCCAGCTTGACAGGAATCTTTAAAGTGTGCTTTACTCAGCTAGAAATCTGGGAGGATAGTGTTTGTCTCACCGAATGAAAGTAAAGACCATCACCCAAATTGAAAGGATGACATAACTCCATTTTGTCTCCATTTTAGGATCAGGCCTAACTTTAAAAGAAGAACTAGGCCATAGGTCACCAATTCCAGGAACAAGACCATAAAATCCCCTCCCCAAGGAACAGCCTGAGGATAATCACAAGAATGGGAAGGTATCTTATTTCAGCGTGAGACATCTGTGCTGGGCAGCCCACAGACCTTGTAGTAGAATATTCATGGCACAGAAAATGCCTAACATTCCTGAGGTCTATAGATAGCTCACTCAAGGTTAGCTGTATTAGCCAATCACTTTGTAACAAGCTTGCCCCAGCAGAATGTTGCTCAATGCTAAGCTGGAAATTCCCAGTCCTTGCTCAAACCCCAATAAAAACCCTGCCTTGCATCTGCTTGAGGCTTTCCTCCTTGATCCACTGCGTTGATAACCGCCTGAATAAAGCTCCTTGCTCTTACATACTTGATCCAGTTCCTGGTGGTCTTTGGGGATCCTAAGATGTGGGCATAACACAAATTAGCCAAATATATAGCTTTATTATATATGCATAGTGTAGACGGCCTGGTGAATGCCTTTCCCTAATGCAGGATTTGAGAGGTCAGCATTAAACACAGGAAAAAGTGGGGTTTATATAGTGTAGAAACTGAAAGGCAATGGGACTTCTAAGGGTTCTTGGTTATGTAGGACCTTGGCAGAACATCTCAAAATTATTCAGCACATCTTGGGGTAGAGGTCAGAGTATAGGGTGTGGAACAAAACCAAACCCCATAAAACAACAGCAACAAAACCCAAACCAATCAACCAAGCATACAACCCCGAACAATAAAATAACTGATATCTTTGTGTGGTTACGTTAGTTAAAAGCTAATGTCACAGCTCATTACCATAGCATTCTGTTATGTGGGTTATATTAGCTTCCAGGAACAACTGTTGGAGAAGTTAACACCCAGTGTTATGAAAACAATTCCTGTTGTAGCACATGTGAATTAACTTTAACTTGCTATTTCCACTTCCTGTAATATTATTGTTCATAAACTTAACTACTTTACCATAAAAGGCCCAAAGCTTAAAAAAAGGATTTAAAATTTATTTTATTTTTTGTATATGGGTATTTTTCCTGTAAGTATGTCTGCACCATGTATGTTCCTGGTACTCAGGAAGGCCAGAAGAGGGCATTGGATCCTTCGGAACTGGAATTACAGACAGTTGTGAGCTGCTGTGGGGGATGGGAATCAAATCTGGGTCCTCCGGAAGAGCAGCCAGTGCTCTTAACCATTGATCCATTGTTCCAATCCTAGCACAGGACTTTTTTTTTTTTTTATTAATGATTTATTTATCTTTATTTTCCATTTTATGCCCATTGGTGTTTTGCCTGCATGTATGTCTGTGTGAGGGTGTCTAATCCCCAGGAACTGGAATTATGTACTGTTGTGAGCTGCCATGTGGGTGCTGGGAAGTGAATGTGGGTCGTTTGGAAGAGCAGCCAGTACTGGTAACCAGAGGGGTCTCTCCAGCCTCAGCACAGGACTTTTTAGATTGCATTAATAAAATTAGCCTCTCTCCACATAAGGGCCATTAAACTATGTCAGTTATGTACAATTAAGAATGAACCAAGTTATTTAAAATTATTTATATTTGCATGGAAGATACTTGTGTGCCATAGTATGTGTGGATGTGTGTTCGTGTGTGTGTGTGTGTGTGTGTGTGTGTGTGTGTGTGTGTGTCAGAGTCCTTCCACCTTTTGCACTGTGGGTTTTGAATTCAGTCATGGGACTTGGCAGAATGTGCCTTTACTTGCTGAGCCATCTTGGGGGCTTCAAATCTCTTTCTGTTGTCATCACATAACAAAATATTGTATTACTGATTCCTGTTTTAGAAAGTTACATAGAATTCAAATGGGTCATCTTGTATAGTTTTAGGGGTTCACGATGTTTAGGGTTTATTTCTGTAGGGAAAAATATAGGAAGGAAGGAGCACTCTTCAGGGCTGTAGCTCCCTCTGTCTGTACAGCCAGTGATGATGGGCACTGCCACAGGCCTCATACTTCGGAAGCAGTGGTATCTACCTTGGACATGGTGGGCTCAGGCTCTTGACTGTACTATTACATTTACTGGGATTCTTAAATCTTGCTTTTCAGGCTTGCTTCAGATCTGTCACTTTAAACTATTTCCTGCCCTTGAATTCCCAGAAACTTCCGGCAGCCACCCCACATCGGACTCAACCACAACATTACTGCTTTTTTATATTTTATGGTATAGCGAAAATATTCACTTTTTGGGGGAGGGGTTTGAGACAGGGTTTTTCTGTGTATCCTTGGCTGTCTTAAAACTCACTCTGTAGACCCGGCTGACCCCGAACTCAT